AAAAACAAAGCAACTCCATGTTAATTCCTGTAGATAAATGCCAGTGTCTCTTTGCAGCTTTCCTTGAAGCCTTGAGGCCTAAGTACACACTTACATCCTTCCTGCCTCCTCCCCGTCCAGGCAAGCTCCTCTAGTCCCAGCCCTTGTGCTTTTACCTTTCCTGGCATGCAGTCCCATTCCTCTCACACTTGGACAGGGTCAGCCCTATTTACCCACCACAGCGACCAAAACTGGCCTTCAGTGATCCATAACGAGCTGGGAACAGGCAGAAGAATCCACTTAATTCCAATCTATTTACTTTCATACAGTACCAATAAAAAGCATGTGGAAAATGGGAGCTGAGGCAGAGTCTGCTCCCTGCCCATAGCCAAGGCAGTCCACAAGACAACCCTGAGGGTCAATGAGGGTCAATCTGCCTTCTCTGAACAGCTCCCATCAACTCCCACCTCCCTGACACGAAGCCCTGCCGAATTCTCCTCTGTAAATTGTTCATCCCCAACTGAGAGGTACAGAAGAGTTTGGAGAGTTAAAAGGCTGGACCTGAAGCCTGTAAAGAAGCAACAGAACAAAGCCCAGCATGTGAGGTCCAGAGTCCTAATCCTCATCCAAACAAGAAGTTCTGCCCAACCTGGACTTGAGAAAAAAGGACTGGTTCTCAGTGAAGGGGGTGAGAGCTCCTACTGCATATTTTATTTCTTTCCAAAAATCATTCCTTCTGTTAAAGCAGCAAACCTGAGGCTGGACATGCCTAGAAGTAGAAAACAGGATTTTCCTTCCCTTCCCACATTGAAAAGCATGTTTTCCTTTCAGAAGCACAGTATATATAGTGTGTGTATATATATATTTCTATAGTGTATCTATATTTACACACTATATATACATACACTACAGTATAGATATACTTACTTCAGAAGTATATAAAAATGAACAAGCCTAAAACTCACCTTCCACAATGAAATAACTTTTTAGCACAGCCAGTGACATTCAGAATTTGTGCCTTTCTCTGTTTCGAAGCTCATGCCTCTTCCATGGATCAGCAGCAGTGGGACACTAATTTATGCCTCAGTTTCAAATTTTAAACATAAAATGGCACCGACAGGGCTTTTCTTTTTTTCAAATAAAAAGAGATTAATAATTACATCCAACAACAGGGCAAGATGGATATTTCCCCACTTAAATGGGCCCCAGCACAGCCTCTCCTGCTACACCATCCACATTGTCAACCCCTAAGAGTCTCCTCTGCATTACACAGGCCCATTTGTAACACCACGCTGATGAAACACAAAAACCACTGAGGATACTGTCAGACATCTTGCACACCATAAATTCCTGCATTCATTTAAAAATTTTTCTTGGCCCACACTGCCAAGCAGAATAAAGACATTAATTTAGCCCACAAAAAGACTGAGGTCAGCACTGGCCACTGCCCAGTTCTTTTCAGGAGACCACACTGAAAGCAACCCAGTGCCCATTTACCTGGCATGGGTTTACAGCACCTCTGTCATGGGCACATGAGCGTCCTGAGGTCTCAGAAACAGGGGTCACATCTTGTTAGTTCCCTGACTGAGGATGAAAATTGCAGCTAGGCACATTTGCCCTGTGTGCAGGACGTGGTGACAGGCAGGAACACGACTGCACGGAATATTGGTAACGGTACTTTGTTCAGTCAACACACTTTAAACTGAAGACAGCTCCTCTCTCTGTACTGCCTGAAAACAAATGTGCTGAAGGAATGGCTTTTTTTAACCCTTCCCCTCTCTCTTTGATGATGTCACGCCAAGTCAGCACAAGAGATCGTGATGACTTCCTGGTGATGGGAACATCTTCTGTTTCTCCCACTCAGCACGCACAGGTAAGTGATAAACTGACTCCAAAAGATCTGCAGTGAAAACCCATGCCTGGTCCCTTAGTACAACAGTGCTGTACATGATAGCATAAGATTGGCTGCTGCACCTGTAAGGTCAAGATTTAATTATTTTGGAAGGCCTCGGGACACACAAAAGCGTTCAGAATTCCAAAGAACAAGAAGGTTCCTTCTCGAAATTAGCTTTTCCGTCTTTATGTAAACATTTCCCTGCCTGATGTGTTACTGGACAGGGTATGTTTGTCACCACCACACAGTCTGACCTCCACAGCCCACCTGTCAAAACCTGACAGCCACCTGAAATCTGGTGCTGCAGATGCTGCAGCTGGCTCTGCAGTTTGGATTCAGTCACAGTACAGTCCCATTCTATTGCTCTTTACTTCCATTTCTCTCAACAACACATATACTCATCATCTTAGTCTTTCAAAACAGCTGAACCATTGACAAAAGCAGGTGAAACTCCAGGCACTGCAAAACACCTCCACACCCCACCCCAACTCTCACTTAAGGGTAGAGTTGACACCTTGAAAATCTCAATTCAACACTGAAGCAGGAGGTAATTTTGAAGAAAGTCTCTAAAGTGACTTTTCCTATATCAGCACAATCCATCAGGGAGGGAGGAAGACTATTTTCAATTTCAACTC